TGAGATTATTGACTATATTTTCTTTCACTACAATGTAACAAACAAAAATAACGAATTAAGATTGGTTATCTCAGTGAATTTAAGATTGGATATTTTGAAAGAATTGCATGATGCGACAGTTTCAGGTCATCTCTGGATAATAAAAACAGTTCAAAGAGTACGAGAAGCTGTTTGTTTTCCACAGCTACAATAATTTATTAAAGACTATGTACTATGTTAGGCCCTGCAACATTTTCCAGTTAGTTATAGCCCGACCGTATACTTGAACAATATCAAAGTCACCTTTCCTAATGATATAATAGGAATTGATTTACAAGGTTCCTATTCATGCAATGAAAAAATTAAAATAAATATTTTCTGGCAATCCCGGATCATTTTTCAAAGGGGTTAGAAATAGCTCCCTTAAAAGAACTGCAGCTAAATTGTTGCAGATTCTTTCTTAAATAAATTTATATTAAAACTTGGAGCACCACTTAAAGTAATTTCAGATAATGGAAAAGAGTTTGTGAACGAAATCTTGGAGGATCTATGTTCAGGGTGTAACAGTATCAGCAGAGAAGAGCCAGCGGTAAAGATGGCGAAAATTCCTTCAACATTGGGAATGCAAGGTCCACAAAGAAAAAGGAAGAACGCTAGACATGGTGAACGAGACAAGAAAAAGATCAATGTGCAACGAGCCAAAAGAAAGCGAAACTACTGAATACGAAGGTCCAAGACGACAGAAAAGAAAAGTTTCCAAAAGGAACAGAAAACTACAAAGATCCAGCAGATGCAGCGACGAGCTGAGGGATGAGCAACGCCTATTAGAAGGATTAACGTTGTTCAAAATTCCATTTTAATAACAAGGTTGTTTAAACATTTTCAAGTCTCTGTAGTTACTTCAGATACAGCGATAATTCGCTTTACGCCTGTTGGGAGTTCGGAACTAGTTTATAGTTCCAAAGAAAGCTAAACTTTACAATTGCGTTATCCACTACTAAGTCTGGAAGCGGTGATCATTTAATTATGGAGGCATTTAATCATTTAATAGGTGAGCCACCTTTGCTCCTATCACGAACAGGTAATTTACATCCATGCCTTCTCCAGAATTTGAACCCGGGCCCTTCGGTACGGCAATCAAAGTCACTAAGCACTTCTCCTTCTGGGCGGCACTATTTGTATTATAATATGCAGTATAATATCCTGCTGATGCAGCTACACAGCTGTTTTGAATGTCAGTACTAATCTCAGTTCGTCGTCAAAAGCTCCTACCACAAGTATATTAACAGCAAAGCTGACCTTGAATAACTCAAAGAAAGTTATTCGGTTCGGAAAATACAGTTTTACTTTAGTCTAGATATATGATCAAATGATAAGTATTTGCTTTATTTGCATGAAGTTAAGATGCACTGAAAGGCAAAAAACGAAACAAAATAAAGACAAAATTTAAAGATTTGGACAATTTGTCTGTTCAGAAAGTTTCAGTTCAGCCATTTATACGTACAAAGTTTTCACGCTTACAAATTATCCAAACTCTGTAGCAAACCACGATTTCGCTTATATATACATTTTGTGATACAGATACATTTACAGATATATTTTGTGATAATTCCTTTGGGGATATGTTTTCTCAGCAAACTAACGCATTATGGCATATCGCCAAATAACTCAAAATGCTTTGTGGAACACAAGGTAAGAATTTCGGATATTCTTTTTCTTTGCAAGTTCTAAGACTATCTATACCGTTTTATGCGTGTAATTTGTTCCAATTCGGTTTTAACCTTAACTGCAGGTGCTGGTAGTATACTGGTTAATAATATGCTGTCTTCAAATAACCTCAAAGTATATTCAAAAGTCTTGTAATTTCGCGTCTTGTCTGGGCAAAACTGTTTTAAGTGCTTTTAGTGGAAGTTTCTGAATGTTTAACTAAATACTTATTGCTTTATAATCACAATTTACGGAACGAACTAAACGTGGTAAACCTTTCAGTTTGCGCACGTTTATCCTTTTAGTAAATTATACAAAATTGAATAGTTTTATACGAGTGTTGTAGGAAATAAAATTTCAATTTTAAAACGATTTCCCATAGATGAATAAATAAAACAAAATTAAAATTACTCGAGATAACATGAATCAAAATTTTCAAAAAGCATTTACAAATATGGCTACAAGAGGCTATAAATTTGAATTTAAGCAAAACTCTCTACCAAAAGATATCACTTTTGCCAGGAAAGTATAAACATTAAGTTATGTTTGAAGCAGCATTCAGAGGAAAACTGAAATTCGAAAATATTTTGCAAACTAAATAATAAAAATATAAAAAGTACAAGATATTGTACTAAATAAAAATACAAAAAGTACAATATACTTACATAAAAAGTACAATATACTGTGCTTTTTTATGGCTCCTAAAGCTGACATTTTCTTTGCGGTATGTAGTTTAAATCATACAGTTTTAACATTCTCTTCAGGGCCAATTTCCCATTACAAGCCAAATATTTCAAATAATTAAAGATCTACTGATTGGAAATCTCTTTGTAGGTGGTAGGCATAAAAATTAATTATACACATTTTTACTAAAAATTATCTCATGTTGTTATCTATTATTCTCTATTCTTTTGATTAATTAATTATGTCACATAAAGTTTAAAAGCCTACATAATTTGTCTAAATCTTTTAACTGGAACCATGGACCCGCTACTAACCATTCAAGGGGCATTTACGGTCATCCAGTCTGTTTAAAGCACCTTTTAAAAAATACTATCAATATCATTTAGACGGATTTAGACGATATAATTTAGACGGCATTAGTAGCAAACGAAACTGATTTATTGCGACATGTATTTTTCTGCATATACTAACTTTAATTCAGAGAGGAAAAATAAATTATAACTTCATCATGTATATATTCTTCTTTCCTTTTTTCCGTGTCTATTTCAATTTTATTTCAACCGATACATTTTTCTGCGCCAAACAAGATCAGGGAGTTAGTTTTTTCTGCTCTTGACATGTATTGTTGCAAGAAACTTTTAATAGCGCACTCTCTACCCTGAATTTTGCCTTGAATGAATTCAAAATGCGTAATATCAATTATTGAAATCATTCTAAAATAATTTGCAGTATTCAAGATATAAAAATGCATAAATGCATTGGATTATACCTTCTTATTAAAAAATAATATAACACTTCGTCTTAAATATGCTTAATATAAACGGGCAAAAGCTGTTGATCAGACAGTTACGACACTGAAAAATTCGTTTAAGATTTGTCTGTGTTACAAACAGTTAGGAATATGAAGCTCATTGTGTATAATTAAATGAAAATCATTTTAATGCTTTGTAAAGTCTATGAGGCTTAGTAAATGAGACTTAGGAACTTTAAAAAGGTCTTTTGAAGAATTATCTCCCAACCTTGTGAAACTAAACAGAGATCAGAAGAAGAGTATATAAGACCCTTTATTCAAAATTAACAAATGACCCAACTTGGGTTGCAAGAAGCCAACATTTCTGGCCTAATGCAAATACGTAACAAATAGTAATTTCAAGGTATGTAGGTTAGCCTAACGGCTCACAGAATACTTTAACGTTCAGAAAGAGCTAGTCTAAAGTAACCGGAGAGACAATCCTAAGACAAGAACACATCAACGCCGCTAACCCAAATCGCGAATAATCACTGCACAACGTGACTCCTAAACTAGTAGGCAAATACGCTCTGAAAACTAACTTCCGAAACTCTTGCTTAAATAGTACTTCATTCTACCTTAATCTGAATAAACTCTCTCTACCTCATTTACGTTCTGCCATGAGAAGCGTGGGTGAAAAGAGAGTGATAGAAAAAACTTTTCAACTTAAAATGAACTATTAGTTAATAATAAATAGATAAACCTTACAGCTTAATACTCAAATTTCATACATATAAGAAGTATAATAATTTATATGAAAAATGTTGCATACAATGAATGTATTACCATGTTTACATTTTCGTCTAAATGAAGTGCATTTCCACACGGTTTATTTTACTTTTGCTTGCAAATAGTTATACTGTCCCTTTGCAGATTTATTACACTTAATTTATTCTGTAGGAGCTATAAGCGTTTAAATATTTTTTTTTTCCTTTCTGTGCATATTATTTTATGCGATGACTTTCTGTCATTCATTTTGATTTTATCCTTACTGCATCTCAAGCTGTCTCTTCTTCTCCACCTGTTTTTAATACGTTTCTTAACTCTTTTTCGTAATGGTTTGGCGTAATAGCCTTCTTTATCTGTAAAAACCGGAAGCATGTTTTGTTTTCTATTAAAATCTTTTACCACTTTTTTATCTCACATTTAATATGTATCAACTAAATCTGCTCTCAGAATCGAAAATTTATCCCAGAATGTTTCACTCTTTGCCTTTTAATCCGCCTAGATCCTTTCATTTTCATTTACCATCTCCGCGCTTAAAACAACAACTAAGCTATTTCTGACCATTATTTCCTGATGTTATAAAGAAGTTTTACATATTCTTCAAGATTATTAAGCTTTTCAATATCATTTACATGCTGCAGAGGAGATGCATATGTCTCATTTCGGTGTTAGAGAAAAATGAATCATGCATTCATAATCAAATCATATTCCAAAATTTAAAATTGTTTAAATTTTAATTTTTTAACACAAAAAGCTTTTCATTTCAGCTTGGAAAATCTGAAATTTTTTAATAAGTGCAGTTTATTAAAAGGATAGAATAAAGGCTTATCTTTGTATTTCTTTTCTCTACAACTTTCTTTTCTTCAAACTTAAGTCCAAATTTTAAAAGACTCCATTCAAAGGAGTTACATTTCCACTCAAGTTAGTTAATTACAGATTCACATATTTCATTTCTCAAATTTAGGCTGCATTCTTTCCCCACTTTATGAAGTTATTTGTGTTTAAAATGCTTTATTAATATCCTATTTAATAGGAAAAGTTTGAAAATATAGCTGAAAGAAATGTACAATTTGTAGAGATTTAAATGCCACTTTTCTTATTTTTTTCGTTGCAGACACAGTTACAGTTGAAATATTGGGAGCGAGCCAAGAGAGAAACATTTTTCGCAAGAGACAACGCCGAAATGTTTATCCGATGGTGCAAAAGTTTTGGAGTTCGTGATGCAGTCTTATTTGAATCGGATGGATTGGGTACGACGTTAATTTCGTATATTTTTACTTCAGTGACGTCTTTGCTTCTCTAGAAGCGAAACTGTCAATGCCATTTGGTTTCTCAATGCAATTTTCTTCCGCTTTGATCAAGGAGAAAGTTTTAGTTACTGTCAGATAAATCCATGGTAGATATGTCTTGTTTAGGACAGAAACACGGGTGAATAATATGTCGAGGACATTTTTAAATGCGTAAATGTGAAATTTTATAGTTTTTCTAATGCGTTACATTGTCAATATATATCAAAATGCCGTGACACAGAAAAATATGAGAAACTGATTTTATAACTGTTCTGATAGGTTTGTAATATGTATAAGGTTCTTCATCTAACCATGACAGATTACTTTTTAAACTGAGTTTATATCAAACGTTTTTTGTTTCGCTAAGTGATATTTCTTGGTTATTTAAGCTTCTATTTTATCTTTTGATGCATGTAACTTTAACTGTGGTTTCCTTATACAAATGACAGGATTTAAGGTACATTCCTTTTACCTAATTAAATCTTATGTTAGATACTGCGTACGTAAGAATCGCTGATTATTTTACTAAAAATTTCTATAATATTTTATGCATTATTTGTTTAAGATATCTTTCTTAAATGCTTGTTTCTGATACAATCGGACAAAATATATCTCGGACTAAATAATCTTTAAACAACATGTTATGTCCCATCCATCAAACTCTTCAAAGAAGGTTTACCATATTTTTAAAACGGTTACATATTTTGATGCATATTATAATTCTCAGAAATAAATAAGACATTATATTACATATTATAAATAATAATATATAATTATTATACATTAATATATTACATATTATAAGTTTCAGAAAAAAGGGAATAATTTCAAGGTAAAAAACGAATAGAAATTATGAGAGTAAATTAATTGCTTTTGTACGAATGGTCATCAAAAAAAAAAAAAAATAATAAATAAATAAATAAATAAATAAATAAAATAAATAAAATAAAATAAAATAAAAACCTCTTAATAACAATAAGAATGCAGCTTTCAGCATCTCTCTTCTTGGTTTAATGTAGAAAGAATTTTAACCAATAGCTATTATTTTTTAAATGATGTATATAATGCGTAGCAAATTATATTGTTATTATGTAGAATGTTGCAAAACGACTGCACAGTTATCTGTTTTGTACGGTTGGCCGAGGACCCATAGCTCCAGTGTAAGAAAGAATAAAATAAAGTAAGTTTTCTGATTGAAACAGCATGAGTCATATAACACATTTTAGCAAAAATATTTGAAGCATTTTTTACGCGGGCTGTGTAATGCAATTTCGCTGTATTAAGTTATTTCTAACTTAAAAATACCAAAAATTTTGTGTTTGCAATACGTAAAAGTGCTCTTAAAAGAATTTGGGCATAAATTATTCATAAAATGCAAAAGAAGGAGAGTACTTTGTAACTACTCATAAAGTTGTTTTAGAGCTGATTAAGAATGTGAAAATAATGTATTAAATTTTATAATATGCTGAACAAATGAAAATGCGATTAAAAGAGTCTAACTGAAAGTCTGAAACTGCAAATTAATTGTTATGTAAAATCAAAAAACCGGTATTATCATATAATCTCTTCAACGTTTTCGGCACCATTTACTCAATAATGATTTTTATTCAAATTTTGAATAGAAACCTGCCATTATTATGTGCACGTTGATTTGAAATACTCCGTAAAGCTGACAATTGTCAGGTGTGTTTTATACGAATTGATTATTCAGTATTCTCAATATTATGCCACCAGTTTCTTATATCATCATTTAAGTTAGAAAGAATGATAAATGTAATTCGTGCACACTGAAATGTCTTTGTGACAAATATTTTTCATGAATATTTTGCCATAGATAACTAACGAATTTGAAAGATTTTTCAAAATATATTTTCGCTATATTGAGCCGCGTGAAACGAAATGTTCGTTAAAAAGTATTTTTACATACTCTGTCTTTTGGAATTGTTTAAACAAATTTAGAAAATTTTTACGACCGAAAAAATATAATTTAGTTTTAGACATTTTGTTGAAAGCTAAATCTTGCTGTTCTAAGTTGTTCATAAAATACTAAAAGTATTGACTAATATTTTGCTTAAAACATTAAAATATAACGAATTAAAAATTTTTGTGTTCTTTATAGTAATTTTCTTCATCAAAGTAATTAACGATGATTTTATCGTTTATGATGGCTGCAGAATGTTCTGTTATTATACCAATGGTTACTTATCATAACTAATGATCATATAACTAATGATTAGCAGCTAGTAGTCTACATATTTTGCTATTCTCTGTTTGTACCGTATCTCTTCAAAACCATGATAAGAAGTCATTAGTATTACCTTAACCGCCCTGAAGTATTAAAAATTACTTCCGGAACTATTCTCAAACAGCATGATAAATGTATTGTTTAATCCGGTCTCGGAAACTTTTCCCAGGTTCCTTCGCTAACTTTAACTCTGGCAGGAAATTATGTAATGCTACTAGAATGGGAACTTCTTTATATTCAGGGACTAAAATTAGTATGAAAAGGCTGACTGATGTAGGTTATTCCGATTTCTGCAGGGATCATATAATTTCTCGCTTCACTTTCTAATGAAATGTTAACTAGCTAACGAGAAAAAATCTATCTAGCAAACAGAAAGTCAGAAAATATAGTTACTCAGTTAAATGTTTCTAGAATTGGGTGAACATAAATTATTAGACATATTGTGTTATAAAAACGTTATTTATATCACCAAAGCTTTCCGCATACGATTCGTGTTAGAACATTCAACAGTTTATAATTTTGAGGAAACAGAAAAATAATCCTACATAATGCAATGTAATTTAATTTTTGAATAAATTACTGAATAGAATTCTATAAAATGTAAACTTTGTCTTACAGAAGCATCAAAACAGGAATGTGAAATATTATAACTAAAACATAAGTTATACATATGACTGCAGCCCTTTTGGCATGATGCAGGGGATCCGACTGTCTTAGCCTTGGACCTCGATTCGGAGAAAACATGGATTTATGTAAGTGTAGGGAATCTTTGCAGCAAATGGGTGCTTAAAATGCTGTCCAGGCCAAAGTCGTCTAGAGAGGTTGTCGGGAAGGATATTGAGGTAGGAGACCCTCGGATTCATCCCTTGGTGGATTCTACTTTAAAACTGGAATGGAATGGGCAAATTCCTATTGACAGCTCTATGGTGCGCAAGGTTTAAGCCAATAACAGGTGCAACCTTTGCCTTTTGGTCACAATAAAATTCATGGATTTGCTATAGCATTGCTGTCAGACAAGTTAAATAAGTCGCAAAGCTACAGAAATGGAACTACACAGTTGATTTCGTCGCATTATGGGTAAAGGAAATGTGACAGTGCCATAGGAAACTCTTCTGGCAAATGAAGGATGATGCACATCAATACCAACCCAACTCTCTTTATTTATTGCCTTTCTCTGTGGACGATTAGCGAATGCTTCCACATTCATTATGTGGAAAAGTTTGCTAATAATTCACGAAGAACTCAGTAATTCGAAACGAATTACCGAGCTAACTGTTTACATTTCGAATTACCGAGCTAACTGTTTATATTTCGAATTACTGACTATATTAAATTGCGAATTAGAGTCTTATCGATAAGAAAGATTTCGGTTCTCTAGTGGTCCCAGTAAGTTGCATCAGGGATCCACCAATATCACAATCCGCTGCTTTTATCCAAAGCCTAAGCATTTAAAATAGTGTCGAAGAAGGTTTGTTGCAGAAAGAATGCTTTCGTTTCCATAAAAGCTTCTTCCGCTTCTGTCCAGTTTAGTTTATCATGTACTAGAACTTTTGCAGAACACCGAAACTTTCTTCAGTTTTTGTGTCTTTTCAGAAATTTGACTAAGGAAAAACTTTGTGTGCTTTCCTTGGAATGAAATAGTTATAGAAACTGTATAATCTCCAAAATCGTCTCTAAGTTGTAGGTGATGAGTAGTGTAAATAGTAGTAGTGATGTCTAGTAGGTGATGAGTAGTTTTAATTTTGTCGGATTAAGGCTCAACTCCTTCAACAGAAAGCTTGGAAACCAAGAACTTCCAAACATTTTACATCAAAATACTTAAATGATGCAGAACAGAGATGCTGCAGCCAAATTACAAAGCCTGAATTGCATTCTAGTGCTTTCATACAGGCCTGAAGGTGTTACAGTTGCAATTTTGTATACATCCTCAAGATTAATTTGTGTTTGATGCTAAACTTTCAAATGATAAACAAGAAAAAAAAAGGCTTTTCCCGAGCAACTCAAACATAAATACTACATAAGTACTATATTGTCATAAAGTACAGGGCCATTTAATGCTCAGTAATTACTAACTTACCTCCAGTCTGGGTAGCCCATTTTGGAAACCGAAATCATACGCAATGGGCAAGAATAACTACTTTTTGAGGATCCCATGTGATCTAAGTCAATCGTACGTTGAAATTGTTCTTTAGAAATCCTCTATCTTTCCAGAGCAAGGTGTCATGGTTTTGCAGTGATGGGGATCTAAAGGTTTCTGAGAAGTAAACATTCTGTTTAATCTTTTGATCTGAGCGAGAAGATTAACAATATCTCGAAATTCGAGTAATACCGTATTTTTACTCGCATGTTTTTAACTGTACAGTATTTTTTTTCCTAGGCTTTCAGCATATAGTTTAGAAACTTCTGGTTCATAGTAACAATGTAAAATGTGTGCACAAATAGGAAATTATTTTGTGTAAGCAGAAAGAATATTATTGAAACTGATGAAAAGTATCTTTATGAATACTTTTAACTGTACTATGTTTGTCATTTAAGCCGTCTCTTTAGGAATAATATACACCGCGTGTTTTTCCTATCCTAGTTTTCAAGCGATAAAGTTAGAGGGAAAGGGGTACAATACGCGAATAAATTTAACAGTAAATACAATAGTTGGTGATTCTTACTATTTCTAACCATTTAATAGCTTAAATGCATAAATTACTGCTGATCGCGTTTT